CTGTTAAGACAGCAGGTAAAAGTTGGTCTGTGTTCTGTCGGAGCTGCCTGCGACGCGCTGATGAGATCCAAAAAGATCGAAATCGCGATCCGCGTCTGGCACTTTCGACAGAATACAGACCACTTCGAATTATTTTATTCTATAAGACTGCAATTTCCCAATAATTCCCATCAATTTATGACGTTTGAAACAAGCGAGTGACACGTGAAGTGAATCCGCAGCAGTAAAACATCCGCAATCCAGTTTCTCGACTTCTCATTTTTATTTTTATAAGGCATGACCGTTAGTAACGAAGAAGGACAAATATAAGCACTCGCTCACAAGAAAAAACACAGACAGAGAGCAGCGCGAACGGAACAAGCGGCAACCGGATAATTAGAAAGTATTTAAGACTAATTGGCTGTACCCCATGGGCAACAGTATGGATCTTTGGCTAATTAGGAAATGGGCTACTTATGTTATACATAATCGACGACAAACTTGAGGAAATACTGTTAACATTTCCCATAAACCTTCCTACCTGTTTTATAACTGATAATAAAAGAAAAACAAGCAATATCGTTCGCAAATTTAACGTTATACGTATGTAGGTTTCGAAAATTTTTCACATTTTTCTGGTACTCCTTGTAGGCCTCGCTATATAGGTGGTATATTACAATGCTTACTTGGCTAGGTTGTAAACTAGCTGGAGCCTACAGAAACTCGACTAGAGTTTATAAGGGGCATGCCCACCCGTAGATTCCTCATGAAAATCCCACCAAAAAAAGTGGTGATACTAAGATGAGGATTGTTTTATGGGTTCTTCATATGGGTATTAAGGGGCCCACCTATCACGTGTACAATTAAATCTACCTCATGGGGCCTCGATGAGGCAAATCCGTTTGAAAATACTCTCGGTAAAATGAAAANGCTAACGTTTCCTCTTGCTCTCGTCAATTTCGGATTCTGTTCCAATTTTTCTTTTAATTTGGCGTAACGTAACGATTTAAAAGTCCAATAAAAAGTTAATTTACGTGTTGTTTTCAACTATATATTTCATTGGGGTTGGTTGAATAATTATTCAACCAGCCCCGAAAAAAATTGGTCTACTAACCCCAGATCGCATGGCTAGCCTAAACACTGCCGTTGACTTGAAAAATAAGATATGAAATATGACAAATGTGCCCTCACTAAATGCTAGGACCAATAGAAAAATGATTTACATAAAACGAGTAGGCATCAGATCAAAAAATACAATACATCAAAATATTACTTATGTAATTGAAATATGAAAAACATGTCAGTGTTCGAAAACAACGCACGACCGCGATGTGACGCTTCAGACAACTGAGCGGGACGCGAAATGTCATGCTTGGTTATGATCAGATGACATAGTTCATACACTGACGACGAGTCTTCGGTAGTTAGTCTACCTACCCCTATAGTCAACTATCCCCGGTCTCCCCTACCTGTGGGTGCCGCTACATTTCGAATACTTCTAACCTTTAACAATCTCTTTGAATTTTTAAATTAACAGCGACTCGACCATGCGCTATCCTTCGGTTTTTATATCTCTACTGCTCCTTCCATCCTGACTCAACTAACGAACTGTTCAACCCAAAGTTATGACCCATGAGATACGAAACTACCTCTACTTTTTCCGAATGCTATGAACAAGTACATCGACTTCAAAGTTAAAACAGCACTTCATACCTATATTCCCTTTCACAATATAACTTAACGTCAAGTATAGTTGACAATCCGGCTGAATGTTTATTAGTTAGCCGCTTTTGAAATCATTATTCGTAATATAGTGTCCAATCAGTCTTAGG